AAAGTGCCAATAATCGACATCTCGTTAATGATGATACATTTGACCTCGTTCCGTTAGATATAATCACGCTACAAATGTAATAATTTAAATTTTATCGTTATAAGGTTATTCAAATAGACAAAGGATTTTTAATTAAGGAATTGAAAGCATCTTTATCAGAATTGGTAGCATCTTTATCAGAGACAAATTTGAATTAAATAGCAAAGCGGCATATTAACTGTTATTGTTGTAATTAGAATCTCTTATTATGTATACATACATTTTACAATTATTTGCACATGTGCATATCGAACAGCAGATTGTTATTATTCACGACGTCTCTTATTTCATTCAAAGTGTCTGCAACGTTATCGAGATAAGAAATGAATTTCTGGACGAAGCTTTCACATGTCTCCATTCGTCACGGTCTCTTCATTAGAAACGTATAAAATCATCCTCTTGAAAGCCGTGTAGCTTTCGCAGATTTCCATTCCGGCTAAATATAAACTGTGACTTTATTTACTCTTGGCAAGAAGTCGATCCTCGTCGGTCTCGAGGCCGAAGTATGGCGTTTTGCCTGCAAATGTATCGATGAATTATTAATTGGCATTTTATTCGAGGTTTATTTATTTTCTTGCAAACTTTTGCAGCAAATGCTCGTGGATTTGGATCTTATCGAATTAACGACGCTTGAAGGCTTCATTTTTCACGCATACACATACGTCATGAACAATTCTTATTATCTTTATAAAATGTAATTTTTTTCCTATTACTTTTTTTTTTTTTTTTATTAAATGAAGCGCAAAGAATAAAATTTCGATCAGAAGTTGAATGATGATACAAACTTTAGAGGCTAATCCTTACAATTTTATCTTAAAATAAGAAATTCATAGGCTTCGCGATGACCTGATAGTACGGTTTATCATCCTATCGCGAATAAATGCGAGCTCAATTAATTAGACCGAATAACTAATATCCATGTAATTGGTCGTCGGAATGATAAGAGGAACGTATATAAATTTTAGATCTGTCAGTTTATCAGGCTATTAATGGCGCTAAGTCTGTTAATTCATCATTGATTAGTTGAGAAATTAGTGCTTGCAGTAATATGATCCGATTTTCTGGTTCAGTTAATATTCCAAAGTCGTAATATCTAATTCATTTTTTCCAGAATATTCCAGATTTGACGTACTTCTTTGATTAACGACAAAGCAATGACAACATTAAATAGTCAATGAAGTATTTTTATGAAGAATAAGCATTTTCAGTAATCAATTTTTTTTGTTATTTCTTTCTTGCGTTTCCGCTCTTAAATTGACTTTTTCTTTTTGGATACGCGCTTTACGATAGATTTTTAAAATTATATACTTTTTTTATTTTCTTTTTAGAAATGTAGATTCAATTTTTCAACTAACGCGTGATACATTCTTCTAACATAATCTGAACTTGTAGTACTTGAAATTGCAGTTTATGTACCCGGTCATAAAGCAGCAATTGGTTCAAAGACCTTGTGCCTTGTGCATTACGAGAACTTTAATTCTTTCTAGAGAGGTATTGGGGGGGAGGGGGGGGGGGAAGAGGGTCTTACGAGCGTAAGTAACACGATTCATCATCTCTCTCTACGTAATTTGTTACTAATCAATTAGGGAGCGGGATCCCGATGATGATTGGGCAATCTCCTTGCGGGCCGCGAAAGAGAGCGATAAATCTGTCGCGATAAATTGCGACGGTGCCCTAGCCACGGGTCAAGTAGTCACGATTTTAAACTGTGTCGGTGAACGATCGCACGGAAATAAGATCGCCGCTCTCTTTCTTTCTCTCTTTCTTTCTTTTTCTTTCACACAATGGGGGCGAAAATAGATTCGCTGAAAAAATTCGCGTGGTTGGCACTTTTGATGCGCGTTTAAGGAAATCCTCTCTCCAGTTCCTCTTAAGTCTTCAATCGGGTAATTGGTACAATTGTCATCGAACAGGATTATTATAATATATTATTTACGTGAAATTGTTAAGAAAAATCTGCTGAAAACGCAAGTCATTGTTAATTACAAAACCACTTACTAAAAATGAATAATTCTTGACTCTTAATCTAAGAAGATTTTTTTTTTTTACTTTTGATAAATTTTCATTACGACTTGATTTTTAGTTTCTTCACCTGCAATACAATATGACACGATATATCGATGAATTATCATGCGATTTGATCTATTAAACTGACCGATCATCAACTAAATCTCTCGCGAAGGACGTGGCGCGCTTTTATCGTCAACAGAATCAATTGAGAATCACATCTCGTCTTTTCGTCCTCAATGTCGTCCCACGGTAATATCGCGAAAGACACAGGGAGAAATTGTTGTATATTACTATTGCTATATCGAGTGCAGAAAAATATCAATCCAGAGCGCGGCGAGGCGTGGCGTCTGCCGGCACTTGACTCTTGTTGTTATCACAGATAAGACAGGAACAACGGATCCCGAGCCTTTGGCGAACTCTTTGCCGTGAGTCCCTATTGAAACCTGTACGCTTCTTCGTCGATCGATCCTATCTGACTCGTAAATTTCCTCTATCTCGATCATAAACTGTCACATAGAGAAATGAGTTCGCGCGACCGAATGAAGCATTGTTCGCAAGAAAAAATCGCACCATCACTGAATTATTGCATCGTAAACATGTCTATATTGTAATATAATTGCGATCACGCTGTGTTAACATTCGTGATTGGAAACAGACTGTTGTTTTCATCGAAAAAAGATGTGTGACGCAAATTTATGAGTCTGTGACGTGGAAAATCCTCGATGGTTTTCCAAAAAGAACCTCATGCGAGGTTGTCATTCATTCAGAGAGAGAGTTCGAAGCGGAACGAGCGTAAGCTTCATTTGTACGTGTTTTATGCCGTCACTGCCGAGGCCAATAGCCTTTAAGCCTTATGCCGTGCCTCGTCTTACGTAACGAGTTATCTTTCGCGGCTGCCTAGACTTCCGATAGACACGATCAGACGCGGCGCGCGTAAAACACGTGTAGGTCTGAAAGCGTAATCGCGAATAATGGCGAAGCGAGCGACTGGAAAAAACGACGGAGAATCCTGTCTGTCACTCTTCGGGGGTTCGCCGTTTCGAATTTAACCCCCCCCCCCCCTTACGCACGCTGCCTTTTCCGCGTGGCATGGGTGTGCTGCGATCGTAAACCGGTTCGCTGTCGGCTCGATACTCCAACATTAAACTATATCGCTGGTAATGTTACTATTTCTGGACCGTACATCAATCCGAGAGAGGATGTATCGAATCTTTTATGCTACGGAGGGAGCGATTATTATTAATGATTATCACAATTTTTATCCGATATTTCGAGATATTGAGAGATATCTTTCTGCATCAGCGTTTGACGGTAACGCTTCGGGATCAGAAGAAATCTCGCGTGGCGAACGCGAGATGGGCGTTTCTCGGCTCGATTACCGACACCGGTTACATAAATCAAAGCGAGCTATTTTTTTCGCGCGGCCTTTAAAATCGTCACGCCCGGCGCCGAGCGATGGCTTAGAGATTGAAAATAAATGTCGATAAATCGCTCACCGAGCTGTCCGTCGCCGAATGTCCGTCCACGCTTGCAACAGGACGTGACGATTTGTGCACAGGATTTGTGCGTGCGCGAACCAAGTGTCACCTTAGTGAGAGCGCGCGTGATCAAGAGGTGAGGAATTGATTCGCGGCCAATTGTGCGTATATTTATATCGTTCCAATTTTCTCGTAACGGCGACTCGTATCGCGCGCTTTTCCAACCACAGATTTTCAGATCTGTCGCGAATAGTGTCTGGCCTGGCGACTTCCGACCGATTGGTTATTATTTTTTTCGTTACGTTCGTTCAATTCCGTCGCGTTCACGATTTTTGAACTTTGAGTTTCTCATATGTGCGATACACCGGTAATTTTATTTATTTATTGAAACATCGCCTGTCTTTCAAGTTCGTGTGTTTCGACGAATGAATTCCAACAACGCGAGCGAACGCGATTGATATTCAAATTCGCGATCGCGCGCTGCTCTTTGCTCTCGCCAGTCGATGATCGATAATTATAGCTTCCACGATGCCGAAAATAGTTTATCGGACGTACGATAGCAAGAAACTGAAAGGAGGACGTTCTCTCCTCTTTTGTTTCACAAATAGTCACACGTCAATATCCGAGTATCTTAAAATGCAGTCGCGGATAATCGCGTGTTCTTCGATTCGCTATTTTTATCGTGAATGTAAGGTGATCGTGTAAATTTGGAATAATCTTTTAATTTTCGGAAATGTGTTACATATGTTTAAGCCATTTTGTGCGAATAATCAAAGAGTGATGTAATTGGAACTTTGCGCGTTAAAACGCTGCACGTGGGTCGTAATGACCGATCATTTGTACTTCCTGCGGCGCTGCTTCGATACGCGCAACATTATGGCCGTGAGCCAATGTTGTGACTCTTGTTACTATTAATGACGAACTACGTCATTAATGCGTGTTTGCAACTTTTTGTTTTCCTTTCCTTTTGTATTTCTACTGTGTACCGTTAACAAGGTATTAACGAGCTAACTTCAATTATATATTGCTGGCTCGGCTTACGATCGATGAAGTAAAGATGATTAATTACAGGATCATCAATCCTAGGCAATAACCATCGACAAGATATTATACTAGGAAAATTATGTTTAGTGCAATTACAATTGAGTAATAATCTTGATTGTTATCTTCTTGAAAAGAAAGATTAATTAGTCGTTTTAAATGTTTCTTGACGATCACGTTGCAAAAAGATCACTCGCGATGAAAATTTTTTAAAAGGAAAGGTTTTACATTTCTCATTTTGTGACAATAACAGGACTAATAAAAAAAAAAAGTAAAAAAAAAAACTAAAAATTTACTAACTCTTTTAGTATCTTTACTCTCTATCTCTATATATATATATCATATGCACTAGCAACTATATTTTTATTTTTATTTTTACGCTTTCCGCGATCGCAAGTGAGGTTCAAGCCGTCATTTTTTTTTTTTTTTCAGAACGGCAGCTCAGCCAGCGTGCCGGCAGGCCGAGACAACGACTCGACCTCGCCCTTGCCCTCGCCGTTGGAGGGTAGGCACGCCGAGGAAGCAGCCAGTTCCTCCGTCCTCAAGATGGGTAGCACAGACTCCGCGGGTAACACTCGCGGGCCCTCTTGTGGTTTGGTCAGCTCTCTCCTTCCCAATAGCTGCCGGGGTAGCGCGGAGGCGTTCGCCCGGTGTCTTCATCGACGATTAACATCACTGGGCAACGAGAACGGTTCGCCCGAACGAACGGTGGACGCTGCCAAACCGTGCGAGACCTCTTGGCTGCACCCGACATCGAGCAATCGGCACGTAATCGCTAACAATCTGACCGCCAACAATCAGCATCCAATTCTTCAGCATCAGCCGCGTCACAGCCCGGAATCGGACCTCTTCTATGACATCGAGGTGGAGGAGGCGGAAGTGGACGGGTCGGGATCTCCGGTCGAAGAGGCGACTGCCGCCGAATTGGCGCATCTACTGGTCAATCCGGAGATCCTGAAGGCGAGTCATCACGACGCCTGTCACTGTTCGCCCAGTGGAACCAAGATGACACCCGGCGTTACGGGCGCCCACCAGGATCCCGAATCGAACTGCGTGTTCGCATCCCCAATCACCGGTACGCCGCCCGACAGCGACTCCTCGGAAATGTTCTTCGATCCCGAGTCCTCGGACGCGGACAAGTTGAAAGTTGAAGCTTTTTTCGATCCTGTCAGCACTTCGGACAGCGAGACCATGTCGAATCTCTCCAATAGTCCCGTTCCTGCGAGGACCAGGCTCATGTTGAATGGACGTAAGCGGACGGAAGCTCCGGAACGTTGCGAGGACACGACATCCGAGTCGAGTTGCTCCTCCAGACGAAATCCTGCGTTTTGTGAGAACAGTGGTCGACAGCAAGATGGGTTGATCTGCAGCTCGGAAGATTCGCTGAATGGCAGAAGCTCTCAGGAAACGACATCCCCCAGCCACGAGTCCTTGTGGAGCACGTTCGACGATAGCACCGTGTCACTGCAGGATGAGAGTCCACCCAGGATTATCCAGGATTCCGTTATCCCTCACATCTGTTTATCCAAGTCGCATTCCGACTCGGAATTACCGAGCAACGGTATTAGCACGGTAGTATTCGATAAACTCGACAGGCGAGACGAGAAAGAGGAAATGGATCAACTTGAGATTGATGAGGTTGACTTTGTCAATGGTAAATCGAATAATGTGATGTGCGATGTTACGAATGGCAGCCTTTCTACGTTAGAAAACGTCAGGAATGATAGTGACTTAACGAAGGATGATTCTTTTAACGCTGAAGACTTGGTTAAGGTAATTGAAGATAAGGGTAAAGAGGAATGTATAGAATTGGAGTCTAAAACGGTATCATTGAAGAATTTATTGCAGCCGAAAACCGAGGGTATTACTAGTGACACTGATACCGATCATTCATCTTATACTAGCACCGTTGATATTCCGGATGCGTTTACATTGGAAGAACCTTCGGATGGCGTTGACGGTGACCGAACGGTGACCGAAGCGACTTCGAGAAGCGAATTAAAGCTTCAGATAGAAAAGGACAACGCGCTAAACGATAGCGACGAGGAGAAATTGTGCCTGTTGCTGAAGAAGCTTGGTGGTGATCCAAACGCGAAAGAAGAGGATTTGTCGCCGGAACAAGAGACGCAGAGTGAGACGGTTGAAGAGGAAGAAGACAGACCGCAGAGAGTGAGAAGGTGTTCCTCATTGAAGACGGGAAAAACACCACCGGGCACACCTCGCAGGAAAAAGATCGTCAGATTTGCGGATAAGCTTGGACTCGATCTGGCCGACGTGAGAACATTCCTGGACGAGATACCAAGGATACCCAATTCAGCGTACAACGACCTGATCTACGATGACATCTTCCGACCGCAGGACAGTAATTCGGATAACACTGTCAGCGACGATTGGCCCGACCATTATCAGAACGATGGCAGACGCAGATCTACGTCAGCGATACCCAGGAAGATCGATCGAATGCTGGTGCCGCTTTTTCAGCAACCAGGCGGAATGTCGAACTTCCTGGATATGGTGCGCGAGCGTCGGGTTTGCCTGGAAAATGTGATAGTGCAGGATCCGATAACTCTGGCGATTCAAGGCACGGTGCGCGTAATCAACCTCGACTTCCACAAGTCCGTTCACGTGCGATACACTCTTAACTCCTGGCGGAACTTCAGCGACTTGCAGGCGACCTATGTGCCTAACTCATGCGATGGCTTCAGCGACAAATTTTCTTTCATTCTATATTGCCACACGCTACTGGTCGGTCAGAGAGTCGAGTTCGCGGTTCGATTCCAGTGTAAAGGCGCGCAGTATTGGGACAATAACGCCGGTGCCAATTATTGCTTCCAGTGCCTGCCAGCTTCATCAACCTCCGGATATATACCGATCACCGCCGATGAAAGTCGACGCGGAAGTTGGTGTTCTGGCTCACCGATGTTCTACTGATGGACTGATTTAAATCTTCCATTTTTCTGATTTGACAATATGAAAACGGTGTGGCTCCAGGAACACAGACTGAAGAGATTGTTGACGAGGCTGAATGGCGCGATATTCGACGATTCTTATACATTTTTAAACAAATGTTTTGTAACGAAGTGCAAAATGGGATCTTCGGATTCCATCGCTGTTGTCCACTGTTTCAGGGAACTCTCGGAGAGTTTTCGGGGCGCACAATAACACGTACTGATCTTCGCGAAGAGTATCAAGCGTTTTATTAGGATAATACTTTGTAAAAAGAAAGAATTTTAGTGTAATAATAATTTGTTTCAAACGGCCGACTATAAAAATACTTGTGAATGAAAGATATTTGACTGTGGATTATGGGAACAACGAATTTCTTGCTACGATAAATGAATTGTCTTTGCAAGTATGGATAGAATTGCTCAATTGTTAAGCGATTCTAGCATTGTTAAGCGGTTCTTCATTTCAAGTTTGTTAACAGATTTAGTACTTTGAAGAGAGAAGAAGAAAAACAACACACAATCATATACAAACTGTAGTTTGGCAATAAAATAGTGAAAAATATCATATGTTTAAATATGAGACATTTAATCCTGTTTTCGGTCCACGAAATGAACTGACTGAATTCATTTTCAAGAGATACTAAATGATTACGAAATACTAAACGACATTTACATTAACGTCATACTACTGTCAAATAGATGAATATTTTCTTACCTTTCGAAATCTCTTTTTACAAAAGTAATTTTCTTGAGAGATTATGAAAATTATTTCCATCTATCACATAGTTTTTTCAAACTATACTCGTTAAGCTAAGTGATTTTAATTTTGAAAGCTAGAATTCTTTCAACGAAGCAGGAAACGAGTACTCACTGTGAGAGTTCAAAACTACGAAATGATCCGATTGCGACTATTAGAAAACGCTAAGCACAAATAGATGGTTTAAACGTTCCTACGGAGTACCTTTGCAGAGTTTATATCAGAGTTAAAGATGATAGATCATTTATTCGATCATACGAAGGAACTAGTGCCCGTGGCCGCGATTTTGTTAGCGTTATCCAGTACAACGACGATAGATGATAATAAAACAAACGCTAAATATGTAATATTAGTTCTTGTTAGCAACATCGTACGAGTTTAGACTATCGTAGAGGATAGATTGAGATACTATATATTATATATAGGGACATTTATATATTTTTTTCTTCGAAATATTGTGTTCGACATCGACTGTGTGGGATAAAATTTTTGAACGAAACTATGATTCAAATTCAACCGGTGATTCAATGATTCAATTCACCGGTGTCTTTAAAGATCTATCAATATCTCGCTTTGATATAACAAATATATCGACTTTTTCCAATCGCTTATTCTCTTTGCCAAATATGAACTCTGAAAGAAAATTAGTTTTAATATTATGTATAATGTTGAAAAAAAAATAGAAGATTTATTAAAAAAAAAAATAATAATATATATATATATACAAAAACAAATAAGCCGAACACGAATTAAACGTTTGTATATTCGTTTCTGCAAATGACACTTTTAGACTGATGTTTTATCATAGTGGGCGAGATAGTATATAAAAAAAAATTTTACTTGAGCGTGTATGGTATTTTTGTACATATATATTATATACGCATACGTGTGTACAGCTAGCATCAGTATTGGTGGCAAGCGTGTCCTTTATTGATTAATTTTATTTGTTCAATATAATGTTAATAATGCACGAAATTATAGAAAACTACTTACAATAATCTCTGACATATCATTATTAATTACATCTTTTACATAAAAATGTATGTTGTTTGTGCGGATGGACTTTGCTAAATATTTTAAAGTGTAAATCCTCTGGTAGATCTTTTCTAATTTTATATTTAAAGACTGTATCTCATCTTTGGATGCGACTTACTGCATTCATTTATCATACACATATGTGACTTCGATTCTTCATATAATCCTACGTTATATTTTTACGATCACAAATGAGAAAAATGTAAATGTTTTAGCATCTTAACAAAATTTTTGTTATTATGTATTTTTTTCTTTCAAATGTATTTGTTTCGTATAATAATTCGTCATTTTATTTAATTATATTTAAAGAATATGATGAGATATAATCATATAAATGGATTTATCATTTTAATATGTTATTTGTTTTATAGGAAATAAGATGTTAAGATGTTACTATCTTAAAAAAATAGGATAAAATTTTATTATTGTAATTTTACATGTATATAAATAATATATTTTTTTAGTATCAGAACAATAGTATCAGAAGATAGCTATTGTTGTGAGTCTTTTATAAACTTTTATCTTATCTTTGCTTCAATTTTGACGTTTTTTTCTCTACATATTTAATTTTGAAATTAATAACTGTTGTATATAAATTATATTTTTTATATTATAAAAGTTATATTATAAAAGTTAGATATTAAATATTAATACGACCACCTTTATTGAAGCACGCGATATGTACACACATAAGAAAAACAAGTTAAATAATGTTGCCTCTGGAATATTTTGGCCTCTAGTATATTCGTAAGTTCCTTATAATATCCGGAATATTCTGTGTATAACAAGCGTTATTACAGAAGGAAGTAAGATAATTTGGAAATAAAAAATTGATAATTGATTTTTTAAGTCTCGTTTAACTATTGAATTTTGCAACATATAATTAAATCAATTTATATTATACTTTATAAATTTGTCATAAGATATATTTTTATAATTTATATTTATATTTTATTATAATTTGTTGTAAGATATATCTTTAATAATTTATTATTTATTATGCAATTTGACTTTGAATTCTTTGAGAATAATTGAATATAAAATTTGATATATATTTTATCTGTAAAAAAAGTTAATTTGAAATATTGACAAATTATCTTATCTTACTATGTATATAATAAATATATATAAATATGAGTGTATTAATAATCATGTATGATGAGAGATGATGTATTGTACATTGATAAGTACTATTATTTATGAAAAGAATATGTTATTTGCAGAAGTAAATTGTTACTGGATTTTAAGAACTAATAATAGAAAAATTACACATACTTTCAGTAAACATTTGCGAGAAAAAAAATCATAATGAAGAATATTTTCGTAAAAATCGCTATAACAATATGCAATGTAACCGAATATAGCAATAATGGTAGAACTAATAATAGGGATGATTGAAATTTATTTTTTAACGATCGAATCGAATTAATTTTATCATAGTCCGTTTTTGCAACAAAATATATTAAAAAAGATAAAATTACATGAATAAAGTGAATATCTCAACCGATAATATTTTATCTGGGGTTTTGTATTTTCATTTTGTATTATTTTGCGAATTATAAAATTGATTATTGACGTGCAAATAAAATTAATATTGTTGTCTTTTTTATTTATATATATATTTATATTAAGATATGTTTCGAAAGTGATGATAAACTGACTTTTTTTTTACGATTTGGAAAGGATGCGTATGCTACATGCGTATGTGCAAATACAATTTTTCTTTTACAAGATTGCAAATTGATATTGTTCTTATTTCGAGATAATGTTACGTTATATTCGTTTGTTATATCAGAATACACATACGTACGATAAATACAATACAATTACATTAATTTACAACAACTGCGAGAAATTATTAATGTAACGACAACTCGAATGAATTAATGTATACATTTTTTAATTTGTGTTGTCTAATCGTTAATAACATAGCTTATATCTCGATGAAAATTTGTGTCGGTCTTTTTGGGCGTTTCTAAGTGAACGTATTGTTTATTTGCAAGAAGATAAATATCGATGGAGGAAAGTTGTGCGTGAGAAGCACAATTGTGATATACATATGCGATTAAAGCGATTTTACAGTACAATACATTCAACCCAGCGAGTTTAAACGAGGAAGTTAAAGAAGAATGCTCGAAAGTTCTGGCATATAGCCGACGTGTTTGTAGGACGAACTATTTTTGTTAGTCTCTTCGTTTATATATGTATGTATGTTATCTTAATCGCTTCGTAACTTTAAAGGCGTCGGTCTTGGACACAGAAGAAAGACCGAGGAATCCGAAACATTTTCACGCGGTAGCTTTACCTGTTGCGAATACCGTTGCGTATTTGGCAGTTTATCAAGAAATAAAAATCTTATGATACTAGAACGAACCGATGAAAGGAAGCAAGGCGTTGATACTCGTAACCACAAAGTAAATTATATGTTATAATTTTCGAACAATATAATTTTTATGTACAATACATTGTGTTACATTGTTAAGAAATAATAGCATTGATATGCATAATGTTAGTTTGTGTTTACCGAGTAGTTACATAACTGTATGATATTGTAAAAAATAGACTGTTAGTCCAATAGAATTGGAATAGAGTATAATAATAGAGTAAAGTCTATATTATAATTTTGATTTAACGGATGTTGTATAAACTTAAGAATTTATTATTAAACAACGATAACTTTTTACAAAGTCTAAGACTTGATTTCAAATTTGCTACAGGTATTTACAGCTTTACGATTAGAATGTTAATTATTTCAGAATATTTTATTGAAGCAAGAAATTAGTGAGAAATTGAATTACTCTATATTTTTACATAATTTTGAAAATTACATATTGTCAATGACGGTTCCATTTTGCAAATATGACCTACAAAGGAGCGGTACCGTCCGTATATCATCCGTCCTATCCAAACATTTCTAGGTCAACAACAAATAGTATTAATTTATGTAGACAATTTTACATCAGATAATCTAATTTTTACAATATATGACTAGTGCACGTTGTTGACAAAAACATGTGGAACAAAGGACCGATGGAAAATGTGCCTGAATATATCTCTATTTCTTATTACATTATTAATTGGATCATAGCTCTTCGCAAGACACCACTTCTGTGTCCAAGATAATGTCGAGTAGCATCGTAGTTGTTCGAACGGTAATATATTTTTTTTATGTAGTTTACCATTGGGATAATTCGAGTCATTGAATTTTTTGTATCGTTGAAAATGCGAATATTATTTATGTTATTAAAAGAAAAAGATGGGATGCGATGGGAGCGAAGAATTGCGTTAATTGCGTATTAACACCACACCTTTATATGTTTTCGTGATCAAAACACTTAATTCTACATTTATTGTAAATTTTTGTGTAATCTGCTTGATATGTAACAAAGTATAACTTTACTACTTGAATGTCAATTTCTATTGTACTGACGAAGTTTCGCGTAAATACGATATCTCTATATACAATATGTTTATGGTTAGTATACTGGTGCTCGATTGTGAACCTCTAAGATCAAGCTTGTTCGATCGTTATGTATACTCAATACTTTTACAATGTAATATCGGATTAGTTCCTTTTGTTTTCAAAAACATCGATTGTTTGTGAATAAGTAGATTCGGCGTGTGAATGCTGCGCTTAAAAGATGATACTCTAAATGCAACGTTTTTTATGTTCAGTATCAGTCTAGTGCGTTTATTTACACATATGGGTTATTTTATCCTACAACTTTTATCGTAACAGAAAAAAACGCGAATAAAAAGTCATGAAATATTTTACGGAATTTTATCCGAATAATTTTCACTTTTTTGCAACGTAACAATAATTTTACGTTTGCATTATTACTTATAATTTTGTCGCAATTATTTTTATTATTATAATTGGGGGTTATTCTACAGGGGTTATTCTACAGACTTACTTTTAAGCGTTCTCTAATCGACTCGAATTACACGTGTATCTATATGCGATACGCGAGATGAGAATGCGTACGTAATAGTGTTTAGAAATAGAAATTGGACATGCGCAAATTAAGGCTGAATGTTAAGGAAGGAACAAAATATATATACATATATATACACAGACACATTATATATGATATATCTGTATATATAATGTATATCATTTGTTCTCTATTATTAAAACATATATAATAAATGAAAAACAGATTCATATTTCTTTCTTGTTCGGTAATCAATAAATTTATTTATCATCCTTATCATATACATCTTTTTCCTCTTGATTAAGTTGTCTAACAAATTTATATATATAATTTTTTAATTCTAAATCTTTAATTTTATTTTAAATATAAAAATTTTATTTTAAATATATTAATTTTATTTTAAATATATATATATATATATTTTATTTCCCAATAGAAATTATAAAAATTATAGAATTAGTTTATTCTTGAATCTTTCAATTTTATTTATAATTCTAATTCTACATGATAAAATCATACTACATAAGTATCAGAAGTATAAAAGCTAAATAAAATTTCTTAAAATTCTTTGTTATTTTAAGTAAATATATAAAACGCATGCCCAAATGTCACGGTTCGCATGATATTTACAAATCTTGTTTTAGATTCTCGAAATAAACGTTATAATCTTCTAGTTGTCGGCGGATGTGTGATTTGGCACGTACTCTTCGGATGGTAAATGTTACATATAAACCTGCGATAGGAGAGGTCAAGTTAACTTTTATTAATATTTATACATTAAATATCTGTCAATTAAGAATAGCGTATCATTCAATATAAACTCGACGAGAGATACATTAACGAATAATTAAAAAGTAAGATAATTTTATAAGAGGAAAGAAAAAGTCACCGTTTCTTTTTAAATGGCAGCGTTTTATTCCAAATAATCGTAAGTAATCGATGAAAGTACAAATGTGTTTTTTCTCTTAGAAAGCGATATTCTCTAATTGTTACCCTGTACATTTCTCTCTGCGATCGTAAATATTCCGCGATAAAAGAATATCGTGGTTTATCAGTCTTTGCGTCGTTCGTACGTCGCTGGCGAGAGAAATCATCGCAAATGCTATTGATTACCACGAAATATCCCTACAGTGATAAATGTGCCTGGAACTTGCATATAACTCCTACAGACGTCTGTTAAAAAAATAGTGACATGACGTCTGCTCGCAAACCATTCGGCACTTACTCAAAGTGTCTCTATTTCTGGATTGCGCGATGCATCCACGTCATATATGTATAGTAAGCTTTATATAAAATGATAGATCTTTCTTTCTCGGAACTCAAAGCTCCACAGACATTTCGCTAAATCCATGCAAATAATATTTTTTCCTTTAATAATTACTTTAATTAAAATTCTTTCATTACGCACATCGTAAGGCTCTTCTAAATATGTCAAATTTAGATCATCACACGACTTCTAAATTATTTTCTTTATCTTTTATGTCAAGAGAGACGGTCAATTGTATTCAAAATTTGACAATATAATAAAATTCTATTTTTTTCATTGTAGGTCAAAGTTCTCTTAAATGGAAGTAAGTCATCACAGTTGTCACGAGAAGAACTAATCATTCTCTCTATCTTTGATGTCATGGATATAGTGGTGATTACAGTCAACAATTGATAACGTCATAAGGTTTTGTTTTCTCAGGTACAAGCTGAACTTTCTTTAAATCTTGTTCCAAATTAGATCACTGAATTGTTTGTGATTTAAATACATATTTTCTTCTTTGTTTTTGACTCGTGAAATAGCTAATTGTAATCGAATTTTTAATAAGAAAAAGTTCAAGCTTTTGATTTCGGCAAGTAATGGTTAACAACTTTAATTTTAATAATATTGTGATGATTAAACAAATAGAGCATAATCTGTTAATTTGATATTAGTCCTAAGATCATTATTAATTCTTCTAATTATATATTATATCTATCTAATTATATATTATAAAACATAATTAATTTTCTCTCTTTTATATCACTCCATATTTAATGATAAAATTTTTATAGATTGTTATTATCAAAAATAGGCATTATTCTGTTGCAAGTCGTTTTTATCAAATCACTAATCCTATAATAAACGTAATTGCATTGAAATGCATTTTTTTCGTAATATTTGTGACACATTTTAATAAGTGCACTCATACAATAAAAGATAGAAGTATTATTTTTTTTTTTTTTAATTAAAAATTGTCGTAACTTACGGAATATTCGATCGTAATTTAAGAGCTCTGTATTGTCTATAAAGTCGTTGTTTGCAGAATTGGTAGAATTCGACTTCGCGAGTAAAGTTGTTTCGCACCAAATTCTTCACTTCCTCGCTGACTGGCGGTTTAAAGAAGTTTCGATTGATCCTCATAAATGAATTTACTTGATCTAGAAAAGTTGAAAAACATTATTATTAAGACAACATAAGGATAATTTGATCATAATCTATGGATGTAATGTAATTTAAGATTAAATTTAAATTAAATTTAAGAATTAATTTTAATCAATGGTATTTACCATAGTAAACGTCAGTAGCTCCCTGGAAAAATCGTGGTATGTAATTTTCCAGTACTGTGAGAGTTGTATTTATATCCTCCAAGACGCCAACTACCGCGTAGTGTTTTTCTACCGCTAACTTGGCTCGCTCCAGGGCACCAACGGTATTAAAAGGACTTTCGAAAAAGAAGTATGTTTAAATGTCGTATAATCTCATTGTCGTGTAATCTCATTTGAATAAATTAAGTTATTATTCATTTTTTTCTCTCTTTTAAAATCAAAGCTAGATTACTTACACATTGTATAGCATACCTGTGTATTATTGCTATTCTTTTTTTTTTATTTAACATTTATTATAAATTTATTATAATTGTTGTTATATTATCAAGTTTGGCTTTCGTATTTGTGAAAGGAATTTTCCGATACGTTGCGAGCAAACATTCTTACGTGCATTTTTCGCTGTGCCCGCAGAAGAAGAGCGTTTGCCTGCGGTGATCGCCGATGCCCTCGTGGATCTCTCCCTGCAAATATCTGCACTCTCGATCGCCCTTAAGTACGCACGACTCGAAGTCCTTTTTGAGCCAATTGGGATCGGGCAACGGTAGATCCGGGAAGATCTGCTTCCTCTCCACATAGTACCATGGTGCTCTTACGTAATAATACCAAGATATGACCCTTTCCACGGGATCGCGGACTATGTTGATATAAATCGGCTCCGGTAGGTGGAATCTGACGAAGAAGAGACAAGAAAGTAGAAAATGGCGGTGGTAATCATTTAAATTGCCAAGGTTAATTCTCGCGGCACTCACTCTGTAAAGTTAGTAAAGCAGACGTGCTTCACGTAAACAGATGGCTCCGAATAACTGCTGACCATCCTAGCGAGATGCAACTAAAAGCATAAAGAAGATTAAACGAAAATTATATACAATCTGCACAATCTGTAGAGTTTTCGAAAGGTATATTAAGGCAACAAGTGATCAACCTTTCTTTGTTATTTTTATTATTTGTTCTTTGTTATTTTTGTTATTGTTTGTCCGCAATAAATCCTATAAACGATTCCCATAAAACGAAGTTTTTCGAAAGGGGTCAATGTCGCTTTAAATCGCACAAATTCTATTCTTTCTAAACGTTGATAATGATAAATATATTCTTCTTATTTTCGTTATATTTTGTATTTTTTTTTTTACTCTAACCTTTATGCAATAATATCTCTGCCCGTTCTTTCTTTCTCCCCATAATTTTATCAATCAAATTGAGAAACCTGATTAAAACAAAAAAACAAGGAAGTGCGGAAGAGATGGGGAAGCATTAGCGCTTAGATCATTTGATCGATCGATATCGCCGTACTTTTATATCACCTTGTAGGGCTCAGCGGCGACGGGATTGTAAATTAAACTGGTAATTACTACGCGAGCGGCTGCCATCGCGCGATTGATGATAATTGATTGGGTTTCCTCGCTCGGGGGTCGTCGTACCTGCTCGATCGGCGCGAGACGTATGGTCTCGACTCGCTGCACGCGGTCCCTGTTGAACGAAAACGCATTCCTTATCGATAGCCTCCTCAACAGCTCCATAAAAGTCTGCGAGCCGACTTTCGGCACGCGATTGAAAAACAGGACCTCCCGATCGGCCCTCCTCGTATTGTTGAGGGCGTCGATGTCGAGCGCTTCCTGCTCCTCGTACTAAAAGAAATCGAAGCGGCATGTTAATCAAATCACCGGATGTGTGTGTGTGTGCGCGTGTGTGTGTGTGCGCGTGTGCGATCTGAATCAATAAGCTTCACCATCAATTTAGTTCTTTCATAATTTTAAGCTCATACGTGAGCGCGCGTGCGAAACTTTTCTACGTCTTCTTTTACATCTCTTCCCGGTCAGCTCAATAATGTTGGAAGTTAAGAATGTCGGAATAATCAAGTAGACGTGAAACATTTGTGCGCATCGCAGGAGCAAGGAGTCGGGGGGAATCCGGATGCGGAGAATGTTGCGGACGCGGGGTGCAATTTACGGGCGACTTTACCCGCTCATTTTCGGCGCTCATCTGTCATTATCGGCGGGCTGTCCGCTTCTTCGCGAAAGAGAGAACATATTGTTCCGCGCGGAACGTTCCCTCCGATTCCCTCTCGTTAGATAACGATTCGTGTTATTAGCAAGTCATTCCTCGGCATAAGGCGAATGAAGGCATAAGACTTTGCTGTGAGCGCAAGTGCAAGTACGAGGCAGCTGCCCCGCGTCGCGAAATTGCGATACCCAGCGGCGCGGTAATAAGCGGCCCGTTCTCTCGCGCTCTCGCATCACATCTTTCCGTGTATATTTTTATCACCCATCGGCCGTGTATATTTTACATCGATCGGCCGTTTTCTTTTTTTCTTTTTTTCCCCTTTGGGATCTAATCCGCATGGAGTGTCATTTACCCGACCGGCGCGTTGCAACCGCGCCACGCGACGCGTATCATCGCAGAAGCTTAGCGCCTGCACTTATACATATGTATGAGCAAAACTGGAACGGGTATCACTTCGCGTTTTAACGCGAGGAAGAAACGAGAGTACGAAAAAAAAAAACGTAGAGGACTTTACGTTTTTCTCTTAGAAACTCGCTGTCATTGCTAACTTGCTCGTTGATCTTCTTGCACCGGGGAGAGATCGATGAAAGCGCGCGTTTTAGAATATTGTTTGTTGACGACTCTTGCGTCCGAGTAAAGAGAGTAAAATTTGTGAAGATCGTTGATTCTTTTTTTCAACACGAATTTTTCGCCAATGCTATCTTGACCTCCTTGCTCCTCTTTCCTTATTCTAGCTCGATGTTATTCCGATACGGAGAAACGAACAACGCGCAATGCAAGCGGGTCAAACGATTTACCGGTTTAAAGGAATGCATCATATATAAAGAACGCACACATATAAAGAACGAATTTTTATGAAGACCTCGTAGTGATACACGATAATGTCGCTCTCAATCTTGATAGCTTGACAAGAGATAACAATATTGAGATAACGAGCGAAATATTATGCGAGAATATAATGGCTACGGATGTGTTTTTAATTAAAACGAAACAGTTACTTATTGGAGCAAATAATTATTTACTGATAATTCTACGGTAAGATTCTCTTTCATGCATTCTGTTCCATTATTACATAGATACTAATAACGATACTAAGTAATCGCTCGCTGTATGAAATAATAAATGCGCTAATTACCTTTCCCACGAGAATACGTTGCACATTTGAATAATGGACGATACCGTTTGGCTCAGCATCGGTCTGAATACCGTCTGAAAACAGATAACAATTTTCAATTGTGGTTAAACGCAACAAGGTTAACAAGAATAAAATCGTTGATTATAAGATATTAGAAGTTATTTTGTTGCAAAAGACGACGGCCGACTTCGCTTTGTTTTCAACTACGCTGACCGTCTACCGCAATTTTTTTCTCTCCTATCGCGGCGAAAACCACGATGGATTTGTGTCGTGTCATTCGGAAAAATCACCGGCGAAAGAAGATAAATTTCGTTTAACGTTTGATGGATGACCCTGTCGCGCAAGTCAGCAAATGTCGAGATTCCTACGTCTACTGTCACGGTCGTGTGGGAAATTGCGTACATAACGATGGTATCTTCTATGGACGCATCGCTTCACTTTAGAGCATTCATGTAGAATAGACTTCCAAAAAAATTTCCAAACGAGAGTGAGAATTTTTCAAGAGAAATAAACGTGACACGCTGCAATTTACTTAATATATATGTATTATACTTATATTACATGTTTTATTTAACTTATGTTACACCATGTGATTCATTCGGTAAATATAGCCATATTTAAATAATTAATTATTTTTTTCTCCGCAAGACGTCAAAGCATGTGATAATGGTTGGTTTCTTGGACATTTTCTCAGGACGTTATTCTCGTTACTTACGGCGGACTCGCACATGTATCTCTGATGATGTATTCCATGAATGTCGGTGGTTCCCTGACATGACGCGCGTGTAGATCTCTATCGTCCTTTTCCCAACGCGTGCATACGGTCGGAATTCGTTGCGACGTATGAGAGCTGCGCCGGAAATACCGTAACGAAGTCCGCGCGGTCCGTTACGCGCATACGGAACATGCGTCGGAGTTATTTAGCCAGGAAATCCGCACGGCGCGATTGTTGTTCGCTCGCGGACACGCCGCGGACGACGTTGACGGATAAGTTCAAACTCGGCTGCCCGACGCGGGCAGTTTTCGTACGCGTAATTAGCACTCTGATTACGCAGAGAATCACGTCGATATTTATGCGACGCAAGATGCAAATGTGTATGATTTGCGCCACGTTTCCTGGTAACGATTCAATTAACGAATTATGAACAAACGGAGCCGCGAGTCGGCTCGGGGATCGAGGAAGCGGGCGACGAGGCGTGCTATCACGTACAAACGTGATCGATCACCGGCGCGGCTCCACGGAATTCATTAAGACGCCTCGAAAGTAAATACGACTCTCTCGTTAGCGCGTACGATCCCTCAGACGTACTCCGCGCGATTGTGCGCGAGGTGTGCGAGTAACGAGAACTCCGCGCGGTGGATAAATTGGCGATCGCGGTGATTAAGAGGTCGCGGTGGAACTCGGCCAAGAGCAACGATCTGTGAAGGGACCGGAATCGAGGTCCCCCATAGGCGACTGTGTTGGTCATTTCTAGAAAGTTGCCGCTCCCCGCCCGAGAGCATCTCTCATGCGCCCGGAAACTAACACGAGAGGGGCCGAAAAAGGTGCAGCGGACGCGCGCGCCAGTGATGCGTGTCTTCTTCTCTTTCTACTTTGTTCCATCTCTCTTTCTGTCTCTCTCTCTCTCT